AAAAAAAAAAAAAAAAAAAAAACTGAAAAACAGCTGATGGGTTCTGCCTTGTAACTAGGAAGACGACTTATCTTCTGTAACTTCCTGCTTACCCAGTGGGCTAAGAAAGTTCCCAGCAGAGCACCGCAAGAGAAGAAAGGCAGCCAATGTGTCCCCAGCCACGCGCAGTTCACCAACGCAGCCCCAGTCTTCGTTGCCACAGAAACCACACAGACACTTTCCCTCCAACACAGGAAAGGACTGACCCAAAACCATCATCCACTGACCCCAAGGAGCACATGCCAGGCCCCTGCCTTAGTCAACAGATTGGCAATACATAGGCCAGGTGCGATGGCTCATGCCTGTAATCCCAGCACTTTGTGAGGGCGAGGTGGGAGAATCACAAGGTCGGGAGTTCAAGACCAGACTGGTCAAATGGTGAAACCCCATCTCTACTAAAAAATACAAAAATTAGCTGGGCATGGTGGCTCATGCCTGTAATCCCAGCTACTTGGGAGGCTGAGGTAGGAGAACTGCTTGAACCGGGAACCAGGAGGCAGAGGATGCAGTGAGCTGAGATCACACTACTGCACTCCAGCCTGGGCTACAGAGTGAGACTCCATCTCAAAAAAAAAAAATAACCAAACAAACAAACAAAAGATTTGCAATACATGATGATGTCAACAATATGTGGCCAGCCAGCCAAGCTATGCCTAAGTCTAGGACTAAATGAACTGCATCTAACTGGGAGGCTCCACTCTTCTTCACAAAATTGCAACAAGTAGAAAGGAAGGATGCAGAATATCCAGGAATCCGTTAAAGGTTTTACATTTCAACTTTCAAACTCCTAAAAGGTATAAAAACTTGCCTATTCTTAGGCTTATTCCTGGACTTACAAACAGCACAACCCGAGCCTTTCTTTTCTTGAGACAGAGTCACACTCTGTCGCCCAGGCTGGAGTGCAGTGATACGATCTCAGCTCACTGCAACCTCCACCTCCTGTCTTCAAGCAATTCTCCTGCCTCAGCCTCTCGAGTAGCTGTGACTACAGCCAAGTGCCAACATGCCTGGCTAATTTTTGTATTTTTAGTAGACATGGGGTTTCACCGTATTGGTCAGGACGGTCTCAAACTACCGACATCAGGTCATTTGCCCACCTCGGCCTCCCAAAGTGCTGGGACTGCACGTGCGAGCCACCGAGCCTAGTCAACCCTAGCCTTTCTTTATCTCTGTGCACATACCTTAAAAATATCTACCACAATTCAGAAAATATTTAATTTCCAAACCATGTAAATATCCAATTCTTTGGGTCTACCTAATTGTATTGTTCACTTTATTCATACAGTTAAAAAAAAAAATCCTGGAGCATTTCTTCAGGAATTGAACAGTATTTGGCATTAGAAGAGTTCATGAACAGTCCACACTAAACCAAGGTGCTGAAGCCTCTGTACCTCTACCCTGGGAGCACAAGAGGGAAGGGTCCAAGTGCCACCCACCTACCTACACATCATATCGTTTCTAATTATTGGTGTAAAAGAAACACAAAAAGGATAAACCAGAAGCAGATAAAGCTGTGTGTTTTGTTTCCCAGGGCTACTTAAACACAACACCACAAACTGGACAGTTTCAAACAGGTCCCGAGTTCTGGGCCAGGCACGGTGGCCAGCACTTTGGGAAGCCAAGGCAGGAGGATCACTTGTGCCCAGAGGTTTGAGACCAGCCTTGGCAACAAAGTAAGACCCTGTTTCTGCAAAACAAAAAACAAACAAACAAACAAAAAAACACAAAAGCTAGCTGGGTGTAGTGGCATGTACCTGTAGTCCCAGCTACTGAAGAGGCTGAGGTGGGAGGATTGCTTGAGTGTAGGAGGTTGAGGCTATAATGAGCCAAGATCAAACTACTGCACCTGTGCACTTCAGCCTGAGCGAGAGTGAGACCCTGTCTCAAAAAGAAAAAAAAAAAAAAAAAAAAAAAATGGGTCCCCACTTCTGGGCGGGTGCAGTTCCCACTGGAGGCGCCAAGGGAGAGTCCATCTTCTCCCCAGTTTCTGGCAGCGGCCGGCATCCTTGGTGTTTCATGGTTTGCACATGCTCCAGGCTCTGCCTCTTGTCACATGACAACCTCTTCTCTATGTGAGTCCTGGCCATTTCCAACTTTCTCTCTTATATGGATACCAGGAATACTGGAGTTAGGCCCTACCCCCATTCAGTGTGACCTCATCACAACCCAACACATCAGCAATGACCCAAATAAGGTCACACTCATAGGTACCAGGGGTCAGGACTTAAACATATCTTTTTTTTTTTTTTTGAGACAGAGTCTCGCTCTGTCGTCCAGGCTGGAGTGCAGTGGCACGATCTCAACTCACTGCAACCTCCACCTCCTGGGTTCAAGCGATTCCCCTGCCTAAGCCCCCCGAGTAGCTAGGATTATAGGTATGTACCACCATGCCTGGCCGATTTTTGTATTTTTAGTACAGATGGGGTTTCACCATGTTGGTCAGGCTGGTCTTGAACTCCTGACCTCAAGTGATCTGCCCACCTTGGCCTCCCGAAGTGCTGTGATTATAGGCGTGAGCCACCAAGCCCAGCTAATTTTTGTATTTTTAGTAGACATGGATCAGGATGGTCTCAATCTCTTGAAATCATGGTCAGCCCACCTCTGCCTCCCAAAGTACTGGGATTACAGGTGTGAGCCACCATGCTCAGCTTTTTTTTTTTTCTTTTTTAAATAAAAATAGAGACAGGGTCTTGCTTTGTTGCCCAGCCTGATCTTGACCTCCTGGCCTCAAGTGATACTCCCACCTTAGCCTCCCAAAGCACTGGGATGACAGGTGTGAGCCATTGTGTCTGGCCTTCAAACCCCAGAGCTTGGTTACCTACACCAAGCGTGTTATTAAGCTTCCCGTAGCGTAAACCTGGAACAGAAATAAAGCAGGGAGGGGAGAGGGCTAGCAGGGCTGAGGGAACATGACTCTTGCACATACATCTTTTCGTATGTCTCTTAGAACCATGTTCATGTTTCTCATACCCAGAAAACAAAACATTAATTAGCTGGACATGGTGGCGCACTTGCAGTATCAGCTACTTGAGAGGCTGAGATGGGAGGATAACCTGAACCCAGGAGGCAGAGGTTGCAGTGAGCCGAGATCGCACCACTGTACTCCAGCCTGGGCAACAGAGTGAGACTCTGTCAAAAAA